GGGAAGGGGTGAAGGGGCTGGACGATGTTACAGAGATAGGGAGGGGGTGTAGGGGCTGGAGGAGATTACAGAGATATGGAGGGGTGGAGGGGCTGGAGAAGGTTACAGAGATAGGGAGGGGTGTAGTGGTTGGAGGAGGTTACAGAGATAGGGGGAGGTATAGGGGCTGGAGGGGGTTACAGAGTTAGGGAGGGGGTGTAGTGGCTGGAGGTGGTTACAGAGATAGGGAGGGGGTATGGGGCTGGAGGGGGTATGGGGCTGGAGGGGGTTACAGAGAGAGGGAGGGGGTGTAGTGGCTGGAGGAGGTTACAGAGAGAGGGAGGGATGTAGTGGCTGGAGGAGGTTACAGAGATATGGAGGGATGTAGTGGTTGGAGGAGGTTATGGAGATAGAAATGAGTGTAGGGCTGGAAGAGGTAATGGAGATAGAAATGAGTGTAGGGCTGGAGGAGGTTATGGAGGTAGAAATGAGTGTAGGGCTGGAGGAGGTTATGGAGATAGAAATGAGTGTAGGGCTTGAGGAGGTTATGGAGATAGAAATGAGTGTAGGGCTGGAAGAGGTTATGGAGATAGAAATGAATGTAGGGCTGGAAGAAGTGGTGTCCCCAGACTGTGTGTCAATGGTGATCAGCCAATGATACAGTGTGATTACTAAGTACAATATGGGGGAAGAAGAGGAAATCATGAATTCTCTCCAATACCCTCCCCACCCCATAAAACAACTTCCACTGAAAGCAAACATAGACAACCCAGCAGGGGGTGGTGTTGAGGCAGGTGGGCGGAGAGCAGTGTTGGGTGGGGAAATTGTCCAGGGCAAAGGTCTCCACTCTGATGCTGATGGGGATGTGAGTCTATCAGGTCCAGTGATGGGTCTTGGGGCCAGTAGGTGTCAGAGCCATCAGGGGAACAATGTTTCAGGTCTGTCAGCATGGCTGGCTGTCAGGTTTCCAGGCCAGTAGCAGCGTGGTTGGTGTCGGGGGATTCGGGCCTTTGACAGGTTAGGCAGTGGATCTGATCCCAGTGGTTCAGCGATGGGGAGGAGGTGAATCATTTTGAGTTGGGACATGTCTGGTTGGGAGGATTTGGGCTGTCTGGTTGATGGGGAGAAGAGGCAGAATGGCATTGGCTTGTTAGGGAGTTGGAATGAGTCTGGTCATAGCAGGAGCATTTGCCACATGTCCAGGGGATGTAAGAGTTTGGTTGAGGAGAAACTGGGGGCTGTGTGGTCAGTTGGGGATCAGGGGTCAGTGTAATAGCCATCCAGTTGTTTGACTAGATTTTTAAATTGGCTGACATTTCCTGGGTACCTATGGACATAAAGAAATTATTCCTCTCCCAAGACTCTAACTTTAATGGGCTCTGTCAGAACATTCCAGAGGCAGCAGAATGGCCAATCACAATCTCCAATGTCCTGGACAATTCCCATGGAGGCAGCTGCTTGTGGATTCTGCAGGGTCCTGACACACAATTTCAGTCTGTGGTGTTCGAACAGCTAACTGTCCATCGGATTATCCAGGCCAATGTACATAGAAATGATACATAGATTACATCCAGAAGGAAGATGTCCACTAATACATTGCTCAGATTGTGACAGAATATGCTTACAGCCATTGTTATACTTAATAAGCATGGTAATTTCTCAAATGTAGGAATTGTGCCTGCCAATTTGTGCACAGCAAGATCCTAGAAACAGCAATGTGGTCATGAGGTGATAATTATTTGTGAGCTTAGTTGAGACAAAGACTGAGATTACAAAGTGTGTCACAAATGCCCATCAGTGAAAGAAATCCACAGTTTTATCCTGATCAGTCTGTACAGATTACTCCAACCTCAAACTCCAATGTCATTGCTGCTTAACGTCCCTCTGCACTTCTCTCTCTGTTTATATCAAGGGGCAATAAATGTCAACATTGCTCGAGAACAAGTGTTTAAAAATGTAGTGTATTGCTTTACAAGATACATCAAAGCACCATTCCAAAACTATAACACAGTAATTAATGGCTGCTTTGACAGACAGAGACTCCAATAAATGGACAGTGGGACTGGTCATGGCTGGAATCCCGTTAAGTGTTTTGCTGGCTGGAATCTTAATCTTCCTGCATGTGCAAAAGTAAGTCTGAATGCTTCATTCAATTTTACTCTGAATATTTGCTTCCACTTTCTTTCTTCCAGTAGGTGACTGTTCCCTTGGGGTGAGGCACCAGACACTCCTTCTATAACTGGTCCCCATGTCCCTGTGATCCAGGGAGGGCCTTTCATTGATGGGTGTCCAGGTGAATAGCTATGAGCTGTTGTGATCAGGAACACACTGCCGGATAGGCATGGGAAAGCAGATTCAAAAAGAATTTCCAAACATGTAACCGTATCTGTGCTGCACTGACTCTCTGGTACATCGTAACCACATTGTGATGTTGTGTTATTGCAGGAGAAAGACAGCGACTGAGGAGGCAGTTTCAAACACCAGTGACCTTTCATTGATCTACAGTCGACTGTCTGTGAAACACCAGGCATAGAGCTGTTTATACTCAACCCAAACCATTGGTCTCAGTATAAAAATAACACAACACATTGCAACACATCAAACCCAAGGATGTTCTCTACACGAACATTACCTACCCAAAGCTACAGAGCAGTAATGGGACTGTGCATAGAGGCATGGACCAGAATAGATACATATCAGGTGAGAAAGTACGAAGGTTGCGTGCAGTCAACATGGTTGAATAGGCAACATGTGTCCCAGATTCCCAGACAGATTACCATGGATTTCTACCTGTGGAGCGGGCATGCACTCTCACCTTCCCTTTCTCAGAGTTAGAAGGTCATGAGTTTAATAACTAACTCCACAACCTTAAAAATTACCTGACAGCATTGTCACTTGGAGCGAGCAATACTAAGGGAGTGCCGCACTGTCAGAGGGTCAGTAATGAGGGAATGCCATACCATCGGAGGGTCAGTGCTGAGGGAGAGCCGCACTGTCGGAGGGTCAGTGCTGAGGGAGCGCCGCGCTGTCGGAGGGTCAGTGCTGAGGGAGCGCCGCGCTGTCGGAGGGTCAGTGCTGAGGGAGCGCCGCACTGTTGGAGGGTTAGTACTGAGGGAGTGCAGCACTGTCGGAGGGGTGGCACGGTGGCTCAGTGGTTAGCACTGCAGCCTCACAGCACCAGGGACCTGGGTTCGATTCCCACCCTAGGGCGACTGTCTGTGTGGAGTTTGCACATTCTCCACATGTCTGCATGGGTTTCCTCCGGGTGCTCCGGTTTCCTCCCACACTCCAAAGATGTGCAGGTTAGATGGATTGGCCATGGGAAATTGCCCGTAGTGTTCAGGGGTGTGTGGGTTATAGGGGGATAGGTCTGGGTGGGATGCTTCAAGGGTCGGTGTGGACTTGTTGGGCTGAAGGGCCTGTTTCCACACTGTAGGGAGTCTTTGATTCTTTGATTCTTTGGGCAGTGCTGAGGGAGTGCCGCACTGTCAGAGGGTCAGTAATGAGGGAGTGCTGCACTGTCGGAGGGTCAGGGTCAGTACTGAGGGAGTGCCACACTGTCAGAAGGTCAGAAACGAGGGAACAGCAAACCATAAGAGGGTCAGTGCTGAGGGAGTGCCACTCTGTCGGAGGGTCAGGGTCAGTACTGAGGAGTGCCGCACTGTCAGAGGGTCAGTGCTGAGGGGGTGCCGCACCGTTGGAGGATCAGTACTGAGGGACCGCCACACTATCAGAGGGTCAGGGTCAGTGCTGAGGGAGTGCCGCACTGTCAGTGTGGCACTCCCTCAGTACTGATCCTCCGACAGTGCGGCGCTCCCTCAGCACTTACCCTCCGACCGTGCGGCACTCCCTCAGCACTTACCCTCCGACCGTGCGGCACTCCCTCAGCACTGATCCTCCAACAGTGCGGCACTCCCTCAGTACTGATCCTCTGACAGATGGTCAGTGTTTTGGGAGTTGTTACTTATCCCTCAATCAACATAATTACAAAGTTGGTTGATGTCAACTGTTTACTACATTTCTGCTTGTGGGTCTTTACTGTGCACAAACTGCTGCTGCACTTCCTACATTATAGCAGTGGATACACTTCAAAGAGGTGCTGGGTGTGAAGGTGCTTTAGAATGTTCTGTGTGAGGGAAGAAGAGAGATTATATCTAAATTTGAGAAGCAAACTATGACATCCTAACTCAGCGGTGAGAAAGGGTTGAAAGTGGGGGATTGAAAGTTGTCACCCAGGTTGATAGCGTTGTTAAGAAGGCGTACAGTATGTTAGGTTTTATTGGTAGAGGGATTGAGTTTCGGAGCCATGAGGACATGTTGCAGCTGTACAAAACTCTGGTCCGGCCGCACTTGGAGTATTGCGTACAGTTCTGGTCACCGCATTATAGGAAGGATGTGGAAGCATTGGAAAGGGTGCAGAGGAGATTTACCAGGATGTTGCCTGGTATGGAGGGAAGGTCTTATGAGGAAAGGCTGAGGGTCTTGAGGCTGTTTTCGTTGGAGAGAAGAAGGTTAAGAGGTGACTTGATAGAGACATACAAGATCATCAGAGGATTAGATCGGGTGGACAGTGGGAGCCTTTTTCCTCGGATGGTGATGGCTAGCACGAGGGGACATAGCTTTAAATTGAGGGGTGATAGATATAGGACAGATGTCAGAGGTAGGTTCTTTACTCAGAGAGTAGTAAGGGCGTGGAATGCCCTGCCTGCAAAAATAGTAGACTCGCCCACTTTAAGGACATTTAAATGGTCATTGGATAAACATATGGATGATAATGGAATAGTTTAGGTTAGATGGGCTTCAGATTGGTTTCACAGGTCGGCGCAACATCGAGGGCCGAAGGGCCTGTACTGCGCTGTAATGTTCTATGTTCTATTGCGTGAGAGAGAGTGACACAGAGACAGAGAGAGAGAACGAGAGAGAGAGAGAGAGAGAGAAATGACAGAGGGTATGACAGAGACTGAACCATGAATGACACTCATGAGGCTATGTAATAACTTATCCCAATATGTACCAGTAAATTATTTGAGAATATAATTTTTTTTAATCAAACAGAAGACAGTGATGTGAGTTATTCTGATCCAACTGTTGAGAGATTTGCTGTGTGCAAGTTGGTTGCTGGGTTTCCTATATTACATCAATGTTCAATAAAGTCTTTCAGTGTCTAAGGAGAATTTGGGACGTTCAGTCTCGGTGAACGATGAGCTCATCACTTTAGCCTTCAAGGTAAGAAAGGGCAGGTTAAATCCACTGAACAACGACTGACTCCCACCTCTCAGGTCTGACCAACCATTGCTGTTCAAAGTTGATAACAATGGGATAGATTCATGATCATGCATTTGCAGAAGGGGACAGATGATGTATTCCTCCCCTTAAATATGGATGAACTGAAAAGTTCAATCATCAGATATGTCCATGAGAGCGAAGGAGAGGCAGGCATTAAATTTCTAAAGGCTACCAGCGACTGAAATAGTTTGGTAAATTCAAACCATAGCAGCCCACAAGATCTAGAATAGACTGAAGGATGCAGCAATGTGAAAACGAGCAGATTCAGACAGCTTGTGCAACATGGTTTCCATTGCAAAGTTCACAAGTTTGTTGTCTGAACACGGAAGTTATGTTATCCCTCTTAACTAGATGGTTTATAGAATTGAACAACACGTCTCTTGTCTGTCTTCTCACACCCTCCTTACTTGCGCAGAATGTTCTCATAAATGTTTCCGTCCACTCTGTCTTCTTCATCCGAGGGCTTGCTGAAGTTCAGTGTGGCGTACGTGATAGAATTATCGCTGGGGTCAGTCTTGGCATCCTGCAATTGAAGTCTCAAAATAGACTCAATGAACTCTTAGAGGACTGAACATTGTCAGATTGGCAGATCAGTGGCAGATGGAGTTTAACTCTGATAAATGTGAAGTGATGCACTTTGGAAGAAGGAACAAGACAAGGAATACTTGATGAATGTCAGGAAACTAGGAAGATCAAAGGAACAGAAGGATCTTGGGGAACTTGTCCATAGATCCCTGAAAGTGCCAAGAGAGTTTAAGAAGTATGGCGCACTTGCCTTTCTCAGTCGAGGCATAGATCATAAGAGCAGAGATGTGATGTTGGAGCTGGACAGGACTTTGGGGAGGCCACAGTTGGAGCTGTGTGTGCAGGTCCAGGCTCTGCACTACAGGAAGGATGTGACTGCACTGGAGGGCGTGCAGAGGAGATTAACCAGGATGTCTTCCATTTCCTGCACCTCTGCCCTCACATACCCTCCCCCCAACTAAAATAAAGACAGAGTCCCCCTTGTCCTCACATATCACCCCACCAACCTCCACATCCAACGTATCATTCTCTGCCACTTCCGCCACCTATAATCCGACCCCACAACCAAAGAGATATTTCCCTCCCCACTCCTATCTACCTTTTGTAGGGACCGCTCACTCTGCAACTCCATCACCCACTCCACACTCCTCCCTAGCCCCACCACACCTGGCACCTTACCCTGCAACTGCAGGAGGTGCTACACCTCCCCCCTCACCTCCATTCAAGGCACAAAACAAACCTTTCACATTAGACAGAGGTTCACCTGCACATCTGCTAATGTGGTCTATTGTATCCGTTGTTCCAGATGTGGCCTCCTCTACATCGGGGAAACCAAGCGGAGGCTTGGAGACTCTTTTGTAGAGCATCTACACTCTGTACGTGACAAACGACAATACCTTTCAGTCTCCAACCCTTTTAACTCCCCCTCCCATTCCCTGAGTGACATGTCCATCCTGGCCCTCCTCCAGTGTCACAATGACGCCACCTGCAAACTGGAGGAGTAGCGCCTCATATTCCGCCTCAGGAGCCTACAGCCTAAACGTGGACTTTAGCAGTTTCAAAGTCTCCCCACTCCCGGCCTCGTCCCATGACCAACCCTCCCTCTCATCCCCACCTCCTTGACCTGACACAACCTGTCCATCTTCTCTCCCACCTATCTGCCCCTCCCACCACTCCCTACCTGCACTCAACTATCACCATCCCACCTACCTTCCCCAGCCCCACTCCTCCTGTCTCTATTTATTTCAGAGCTCCCTTCCCCTCCCCCATTTCTGAATAAGGGTCCCGACCCGAAACGTCAGCTTTCCTGCTCCTCTGATGCTGCTTGGCCTGCTGTGTTCATCCAGCTCCACACTGTGTTATCTCAGACTTCAGCATCGGCAGTTCTTACTGTCTCTTAACCAGGATGTTGCCTGGGCTGCAGCATTTCAGTGATGAAGGGAGGCTGGTCATACTTGGGTTGTTTTCTTTGGAGTAGAGACGGCTGAGGCGGATTTTGATTTTGTTTCCATTCACTCGTGAGATGTGGGCATTGCTGGCTGGGCCCAGTATTTATTCCCTCTGTCCCTAATTGCCCCCTTTGAGAAGGTACTGATGAGCTGCCCTCTTGAACTGCTGCAGTCCCATGTTCAGTAGGTAGACCTACAATGCCCACAGGGAGCCAATTCTAGGATTTTGACTCAGCTACACTGAAGGAATGGCTGACAGATTTCCAATTCAGGATTATGCGTGGCTTCGAGGGGAATTTGCAGAGTGTGATGTTCCCATGCAGCTGCTGCCCTTGTCCTTCTAGATGGAAATGGTCATGGGTTTGGAAGGTGCAGTCTGAGGATCTTTGGTGAATTTCTGCAGTGCGTCTTTGAGATTAGTACTACTGCTACTAATTGGGTGCAAATGACAACGGACTGGTAACTATTTAATGTCAAGATCAGTGATGTTTTCATTGTGTACAAGAGGTAACTGGAACACCAACACCAGTAATGCCACAATTTTGAAACTCAGTTGCCGCTGGGCACTAGAAGTGGAATGAGAAACAGTGAGTGATCTACTCCATTGATAAAGCATTGTTGGTTATTTTCCACTGTTTAAAGGCAGACAAAGCTGGGAGGGAGGGTGAGCTGTGCAGGAGGATTCAGAGATGCTACAGGTCACAGTTTAAAGGAGTCTGGGTAGGACTGTGGTGTGGAGAAATGTGTTCACCAAGAGAGTGGGTTTCTCCGAAATATCGATGATATCATCAGTGCTGCTTCCCTCTCTCATCCAAAACTGGAAAAGTTAATCGATTTCGCTTCCAATTTCCTCCCCACCCTCACTTTCACCTGGTCTATCTCTGACTCCTCCTTCCCTTCCTCAAAATCTCTGTTTCCATTTCTGGGGATAGAATGACCACTAATGTCCACTATCAACTGCCCAACACAGCTACCTGTACTGTACATCCTTGCATCCTGTTTCCTGTAAAGACTCCATTCCATTCTCAGTCTCCATCGCGTATGTTCAGATGAGGCCAACTTCAACAAGAGAGCCTCTGAAATGTCCACCTTCTTCCTCAACTGAGGATTCCCCTAGCACCATTGTAGACAGGGCCCTCAACCAAGTCCGACTCATCTCCCGCACTTCCATCCTCACCCCTTCTCTTCCCTCCCACAACAGCAATTGGGTTCCTCTTGTCCTTACCCACCATCCCACCAACATCCACATCCAGAAGATCATCAGCTGCCATTTCCACCACCTCCAGCAAGATGCATTCCCCTCCATTTCCTTATCCGCCTTCCACAGGGACCGTTCCTTCCGGGACATCCTGGTCCATTCTTGCTTTAATCCCAACATCCCCTGCCCACCACGCCCCTTGCAGCCCCATGGCAACTTCCCCTGCAAGCACCCAAGGTGTAACACCTGCCCATTTATGTCCTCCATCTCCAGATCCAAGGGTCCAACATACCTTCCTGGTGAAGCAACACTTCACCTGCACTTTCCACAATGTAATCTACTGCATTCGCTGCTCGCAATGTGGTCTCCTCTACACTGGGGAAACAAAGCATAGATTGGGTGACCGCTTCGCAGAACATCTACGTTCTACTCGCAAAAAAGACCCTGAGCTACCTGTTGCCTGCTACTTTAACAAACCATCCTGCTCCCTAGCCAACATCTCTGTCTCTGGCTTGCTGCAGTGTTCCAGCAAAGTTCAGTGCAAGCTGGAGGAACATCACCTCATTTTCTGCTTGGGGACCCTACAGCCCTCCGGACTCAATATCGAGTTCAATAATTTTATAGTCTAAACTCTCCCATATCCGAGCCCCCCACCTCACACACCAGGCCTTGTTATCACATAGCCTGCCATTACACACTTCCTATTAGTCACCAACAGTCCCCATTAACAACTATTCTCCCTCCTAGCCAGATCATTATCAACTCCTTTGTCTGTCCAACTGCTCTTCTCTCTCTTTGGGCTCTATCCTATCATTTACTCCCTACCCCACCTCCCTCCCTTTTTTTTCTGCATATAAACCAATGTTTTCCCAGCCACCATCAGTTCTGAGGAAGGGTCACCGGACCTGAAACGTTAACTCTGATTTTTCTTCATGGGTGCTGCCAGACCTGCTGAGCTTTTCCAGTAACTTCTGTTTTTTGTTCCTGATTTACAGCATCCGCAGTTCTTTCGGTTCTCATTCTGCGGAATTCTCTGCCACAGAAAGCAGTTGAGGCCAGAACGTGGAATGTTATTCACAACAGAGTTGGATGGCTAAAGGAAGAAAGTGGCAGGACAGGGGACTGAGTTAGACAATCCCAATAAATGGGTGCAGCAGGCTGGAAGAGCTGAATGGCCTAGCGCTGCTCCTATTTTCTAAGGTGTATCCTTCGATTAGTCTGGTATGAATCAATAGTTGACATTTTACACTGTGGATGCACTTTCTGTGGAATAAGCCATGATCTATTTAGACTTAAAATGTTACATACCTTCTTCCCAGTGCAGGAGAAACCAATACTGTTGCCTGAAAATAAAAAGGAATGAGATGAGAAGGGATTGACGATTCAATCCGAACTTATTGAAGACTAATCAGCATTAAAGACGTAGCTGAATCTTTTGAAAGCGTAGCTGTGTTTTAGTCAATTTTTAAAAGGTATCAGTGTCCTTCTCAATCAACCCAGATGCTTCAAAATATCGCATTTAGAGAACTTACTCTGGCTAAATCCTACAATTTCCATTCAGATCAATAAGACAGAGGGTCAGTTTTTAGGATGAGGGTCAATGCAACATCTTAGGCAGGCTGTCTTAATCTTACTCGCTTTTGCATCACTTGCCCAATTGTCATACATGAAAAGATGAGGGTGAACTGTGTAGATGATGTACCTTTGGGTATCAGCTACTGTACACTGCCAGTTCCATGCAGCTCAGTTGGCTGGATGGCTGGTTTTGTAATGCGTTACATACCAACCCCTGCCAACCATGTGGGTACAACTCCCACACCAGCTGAGGTTGACCCTCAGGTTAAACCACCACCCTGTCCTCTCTCTCTCTTTCTCTTGCTCTCTCACTCCCAATTGTAGCATTGAAGAAAGGAGACCTTTACAGGGCTCAGTTGTCTTCTTGATGGTGACCACTGAATAAACCAGATCCGCAGCGGTGTTTTCTATAAAGAAAGGAAGTGCACGAGAAAAACACATCAATTAGACAGCTTTATTATAATGGGCTAAATGACAAATAGATCAGATAGGTCCGAAAGATAGATTTAAGACAGAAATTCTAGATTAGTCAGGGGATCAAATATTATAGAGAGAAGGCAGGAGAATGGGGGTGAGAAACATATCAGCCATGATCAAATGTCAGAACTGAGATAATGAGCCAAATGGCCTAATTCTGCTCCTATACCTTAGGTTCCTATGATAGATAGATAATGATCCCCAAATGATATGTACTTTTAAGTTAGCTTTAACTAGTCAAGACTGCAGTACAGGAAGCATGCCCTTCTTCATTATCATTATCATTTTCTTGGGGCATTTGTCTGAGGAATCTGATCTTTGCTCATTGTTGGATTCCTCAAGACCAGAGTGCTGTGCCCTCAGTTTCTAATGTTACTTGAGACAAAATAAACATTGGTGAGTCAGGTCTAATGATGAAGGTCCAATCACAGGCTATTAACAGCAGTAGCTGTCTGGAAAGGACATTGGGTGAACATGGAGGTCTGCTGTGCTGAAAAGGGGCCATTGGCCCATCAAGTCTATGTTGGTCAAATATAACTACTTCACTATTCTGTAATCCCATTTTCCCAGAATCTGGCGCACAGCTTGGTGTCACCCTCTGGGTGAAAATGTTTTTCCTCACATTCCCTCTAATCCTCCTGCCCCTTGCCTTCAATCATAAACACTACCACATCGCCTCCACTGCCCCCCACCCTCCAGCCCCCGGTGAGTGATCCCTCCATCAAGGAATCTTCCTGTCTACCCTATCTATGCCCCTCATCATCTTGTACATATAAGAAGGAGTTGTAATCTTTGGGGGTTAAAAGGATTGAATGGGATAGGGGAGAAAATGGGGAACTTGGGACTGAGTCATGATCCTATTGAACAAGCAAAAGACCCTGGAAGGGCTGAATGGCCTTCTAGTTTCCATGGAAATGGGGGACTGAGTTGGATGGTCAGCTGTGATCATAACAAATGGCAAGCAGGAAGGGAGGGTCGAACGGCTTACTTCTGTACTTACCCTCAGCCTCCCCAGATGCAAGGAAAACTGCCCCATTCTAGCCCATTTGGTGGCTCAGAGGTTTGTACTGAATTTCTGCCAGCTTACGGTGCATTGTCACAGTTTGAGGTTCTTTAGTCACATTGATTCAATGGCACTCACCAGCATTGTATGTTGCTCCAACAACTGCGTACTCCACATTGCTGGCTGCCGGCCCTTCACCAGAAGGTTGGGGTCTATTTCCAGCAAAAAGGGGAAGGAAAGGAAGTCATCACTTCAAACATAACACTTTCCACACCACGCTCAGCTTCAACAAAACAGCAAAGCAATCATGGAAAATACAAAATACAAAAACAAATTGAGACGTTACTCCCTGGTCACACATCCCTGGTTTCCATCGGAACATAGGGTTTTCTCACCCACAAGGAGCTGTCCAATTCCCCACTTGGATGGTGTGTACAGAAAGAGGGAGTTGAACCCTGTTTTTCCCCTTAGGGCAGGCAAGATCCTTTGTCTCTTTGTTTAAAGTTGTATTCATGCACAGGAGTTGGATGTATCCAAAAGTCACGAATGACTCAATTTTTTAAACAAGGACAAAGGGTTTCACAGTATTTTTACAGATTAGAAGCTTCCAATCAACACAAAAATTTCCAATCAAAAAATTACACATTCAATCACCCCTATCTCTACCCAACTGTATTCGTATAGTCGACATTCCAAGTTAGCACATATAACCATGTCACCCAATCACATGATTATATTACCCAATCATATTATTACAGAGAGTCACAGAGATCTACAGCACAGAAAAAGGCACTTCAGCCCATTGCATCTGCACCAGACTAAAACAACCACCTCACTATTCTATCCCATTTATCTCTGGGACCTTCCTGTGGTGTGATTTCCCTGCTTGTCAATAAGACCCGTGTTAAAAGGATGTGGCCATATCCAAGCTCCCTCTATGACCTCTTCACTTTGGTTGTCTCTCCCTGTTTAAGAGGAATTGGAATAAATAATAGCAAATATAAAAACTGCAGTTTCAGTCACTTACCTGCTGGGATGTGACACGGTTGAGGAATTCCCTGCAGGGAGAGAGAGAATATTCTCAGCATATTGTACAGCAGCTTTGCACTGTTACAAGCTGGAGCCACCAAGACCTTATCTCAGTCATAAACAGAGAACAGATCAATAGATGATAATTGTCAAACCCGTCTTAATGCACATTAAACAGCTGCAATAGGGTTAGAGTTAGTTTTAGGGTTAGGTTCAGGGTGAGGTTTAGGGTTGGGGCGAGTGTGAGAGTTAGTGTCAGTGTTTGGGTGAGGGCGAAAGTTAAGACTTAGGTTTAAGGTTAGGATCATGGTTTGGTTAGTATTATGGTGAGGGTTAGGGCAAAGATTAGGGCGAGGGTTTAGATTAGTGTTTGAGAGGCAAGGTTAAGGTTAGAGTAATGGTTAGGGTAAGGGCTGGCTTAGGGTTAGTGTTAATGCTTGGGTGAGGGCCAAGGTTAGAGCTAGGGTTCTGGTTAGGGTTTGGTTTAGGGTTAGGGTAAGGTTTAAGGCTGGTGTTAGCATTAATGTTTGGGTGAGGGCCAAGGTCAGAGTTAGGGGGTTAGGGTTAGGTTTAGCGTTAGAGTTAGGGTAAGGGTCATGGTTATGTTTATTACTAGGGTTAGGGTCAGTGTGTGCAGTGGCTACTAAATAAATGTAAAGAGGAGATTTTTTTTACTAGTTGCAGTTTAAAGAGAGCAGGGCAGGAATGTCGTGTTGAGGTGGAGATCAGATTGTATTAAATAGGGTTAGGGCAAGCGTGTGCAGTGAGTACTGAATAAATTTCAGGAGGAGATAGTTTTAGTCCCGGTTTAAAGGGAACAGGACAGGTAAGTGGAGTTGACGCCAAGATGAGAACGTGTTAAATGGCAGAGAAGGGTTTCATGGGACTGAATGGTCTTCAACCTCTCCTTGCTACAATCTGAAGTCCCCACCTGCTTCAAGAAGACCACCATCATTCCAGTACTGAAGAAAACACATGCAACATGCCTCAACATCTACCGCCCAGTGGCTGTGACCTCTGTAATCATGAAGTGCTTCGAGAGTTTAGTCATGGCCCACGTCAACTTTAGTCTCCCAGCCTGCCTTGATCCCCTGCAACTTGCCTGCCGGTGAAATAGGTCCACAGTGGACACCAATTCCCTAGCCCTAGACTCATCCCCGGAATATCTGGACAACAAGGACACCCACGTCAGGCTCCTATGCATCGACTACAGCTCCGCCTTCAACACCATAATCCTGACCAGACTGATATCAAAACTCCAAAACCTAGGTCTCGGCTCTGCCCTCTGCAACTGGATCCTCAGTTTCCTCACCCACAGGCCACAATCAGTGAAGATAGACAACAGCACCTCCTCCACAATAATCCTCAACACTGGAGCCCCGCAAGGATGTGTACTCAGCCCCCTACTGTACTCCCTATACATCCACAACTGTGTAGGCAAATTTTGTACAAACGTCATCTACAAGTTTGCTGACGACACCTCTGTGGTAGGATGGATATCAAACAACGATGAGTCAGAATACAGAAGGGAGATAGAGGGCTTGGTATCATGTGCAATGATAACAATCTCTCTCTCAGTGTCGGCAAAAGCAAAGAACTGATCGACTTCAGGAAGAAAGGAGAAGGACATGCCCCCATCTACATCAATGGAGCGAAAGTAGAGAGGGTTGAAAGCATCAAGTTCCTAGGAGTGACAATAACTAACAATCTGTCCTAGACGTCCCACATAGATGTGACGGTCAAGAAGACACAGCAACGCCTCTTCTTCCTCAGGAGGTTTAGAAAATTTGGCATGGCCATAAGGTCCCTCACCAACTTTTACCCTGCATCATTGAAAGCATTCTATCTGTGTGCATAATGGCCTGGTACGGCAACTGCTCTGCCCAGGACCGTAAAAAACTACAAAAAGTTGTGTGCACAGCCCAGACCATCACGGATGCCAACCTTCCATCCATGGATCCATTTATACTTCTTCTTGCTGCGGAAAGGTTGCCAACATCATCAAAGACCCATCGCACCTTGGTAATACTCTCTTCCAATCTCTTCCATCAGGCAGAAGATACAGAAGCTTGAGCAGATGTTCCAACAGGTTCAAAAACAGCTTCTTCCCTGCCATTATTAGACTGCTGAATGGAACTCTCTAATTTCAAATCAAATGTGGACCTTGCTTTTGTGCACCTCCTGTGCAGTTGTAACCTTGTATGCCTTGCTCTGTCTTAGCATCCTATGATCTTTATGTCCTTGTTTGTTATGATCTGCCTGTACTGCTTGCAAATAAAAAAAACTTTTCACTGTACTTAGTTACATGTGATAATAACAAGTCAAATCCTCCTGTTCCCAGGTATCAATGATCTTGCTGTTCTCTGAGATGCTCTGACAAGGTGTGTGTGTTTGTGTGTGTGAGTGTGTGCGTGTGTGTGAGAGTGTGTGTGTGTGAGTGTGTGAGAGAGAGAGTGTGTGTGTGTGTGTGTGCACGTGTGAGTGTGTGTGAGTGTCTGCGTGTGTGTGTGAGTGTCTGTGAGTGCGTGTGTGAGAGTGCTTCTGAGTGAGAGTGCGTGTGTGTGTTGGGGAGTGGTGGGGGGGAGCTGCATGGGAGGTGTCATAGTTAGCCAATCCAGCACACTAACGTGGTGAGTACTCTCCCTCCCTACTCTCATGAACATGGCCTACTCCAGCTCCTGGCCCATCACCTCCCTCCCCAGGACCCCCACTCAGCTGAAAGATTACATTTGGGAGGAGATGGGATTTCATGATGTGGGGCCATGGAACAACTTGTATCTCCGTAAGACATTACAGACCTGCGTCCCTCTTCCGGTGGATGAAACACACGGATGCGATCAGGCTGGCAAACAGCAGAACTAGGAAAAGTGAGGCCGCGATCTCCGTGGAATAACTCGGACCTGAAATCCCAAAAAGAATACCCGGCTCGCGTTAACAAATTCACCGGGAAGTTTTGCCACATCAACCCTGCGCAACGTACATGATCAACATCAGACAGACCAACCACCACAGATATGTAATATCCCTGTAGGTACAATACTCCTGTAGATATTGAGAATCGCACAGAGTGAAGGAATTCAACCCATTGAGCTAACGACACAAATCCCACTTTCCTGCACTAGTCCCCTGTAGCCTTGAATGTTATGACACTTCAAGTGCTCATCCAAGAGCTTTTTTTAAAAAGGCTTCCGGCCTCAACGACATTCCAGGCAGTGCATTCCACACCTCCACTACCCTCCGTGTGATTTATTTTCCATCAAATCCCCCTCTAAATCTTCTGCCTTTCACTTTAAAATGATGCCCCCCCCACCTTGTTCTTTGCCCTTCGATTAAAGGAAACAGCTGCTTCCTACCCCGCTCCGTCCATGCCCCTCATAATCTTACACACCTCTATCAGGATACCCCCTCAGCCCTCTCTGCTCCAAAGAAAACAACCCGAGCCCATCCAGCGTCTCTTCATCGCTGAAATGCTCCATCCCGGGCAATATCCTGGTGAATCTCCTCTGTACCCCTCTCTCCATTAGGCTTTTTTTTCTATTCATTTGTGGGATGTGGGTGTCGCTGGCTGGCTAGCATTTCTTGCCCCATCCCTAGTTGCCCCTTGAGAAGGTGGAGGTGAGCTGTCTTCTTGAACCGCTGCAGTCCTGCTGCTGTGGGTTGACCCACAATGCTATTAGGGAGCGAATTCCAGGATTTTTATTGAGTTCAAAGATCCCAGGAACATGACCAAGGTCACTGTATTAATGACCTCACGATAATACCACCAGGCCATTACCTCCCCAACTGAGATGTTTAAATGTCTGCCTGGCGCAGACTGGATGGAGCGAATGGCCTTTCTCTGTCTATGTTTGATCCGACTGTCGCTGTTACCTCTCAGCGTGAATCCGATACAGTCGCTGGTCACGTTAAAAATGGTGCCATTGGTTCCTTTGTTGATCGCTGCACAGTGATACCTCCCGACATTATCTCTCCGGAATGAATGAATAACCAGCTCACCACCATCGGCAGTCACATGGGAGCTTGCAGTGCCGTTTCTTAGCGGCACGTTGTCACGGTACCAAACAAACTGCGGCTCAGTGCCTTCCCTCACCAGGCACCGGAGAACAAGGGTCTCCCCGGCCCACATCTCAGTCCCATTAGTGTGGGAAATCAGCACAGCATCTGCGACAGGAACTGAGGAGAAAACACACCGAGGAGATCAAAAATCATGAAGTTCACCTAATGATCGAGACTATCGGTGGGGACCAGTTTGACACAATGAATTTAAAAGGGATAGTAGGAACTGCCGACGCTGGAGTCTGAGATAACACAGTTTGGAGCTGGATGAACACAGCAGGCCAGGCAGCATCAGAGGAGCAGCAAAGCTGACATTTCGGGTCTGGACCCTTCTTCAGAAATGGGGGAGGGGAAGGGGGTTCTGAAATAAGTAGAGAGAGATGGGTAGGCAATGATAGAAGGTGGATAGTGGAGCAGATAGGTGGAGAGAAGACGGTCAGCTCAAGGAGGCAGGGATGAAGCCAGTAAAGGAGAGTGTAGGTAGGGAGTTGGGATTGAGGTTGGCCAGTGAGGAGGGAGGGGCGGGTAGGTAGGAGAAAAGAAAGACAGGTCAAGGAGGTGGGGACGAGAGGGGATGAGGTCAGGGTTGGGGAGATTTTGAAGCTTGTAAAGTCCACATTGAGACCATTGGGTTGCAGTGTTCCCAAGCGGAATATGAAGCGCTGTTCCTCCAGTTTTCAGGTAGCATCGTTGTGGCACTGGAGGCGGCCCAGGATGGACATGTCGTCCAAGGAGTGGGAGGGGGAGTTGAAGTGGTTCGCGACTGGGAGGTGTTGTCATTTGTCACGAACCAAGCGTAGGTGTTCCACAAAGTGGTCTCCAAGCCTCCACTTGGTTTCCCCAATGTAGAGGAGGCCACATCGGGAACAGCGGATACAATATACCACATTAGCAGATGTGCACGTGAACATCTTAAATATGGAAGGTTTTCTTGGGGCCTGGGATGGGGGTGAGGGGGGAGGTGTAGGGGCAGGTGTAGCACTTCCTGCGGTTGCAGGGAAAAGTGCCGGGGGTGGCGGGGCTAGTGGGGAATGTGGAGCGGATGAGGGAGTCGCAGAGGGAGCAGTCCCTCCGGAAGGCAGATAAGGGTGGGGAGGGAAATATATCCTTGATAGTGGGGTCAGATTGCAGGTGGTGGAAGTGGCGGAGAATGATGTGTTGAATCCGAAGGTTGATGGGGTGATACGTGAGGACAAGGGGAATTCTGTCTTTGTTTTTATTGTGGGGAGGGGGTGTGAGGGCTGAGGTGTGGGAAACACAAGAGGTGGGTTAAGCAGTTTGATGGGTTCTTAAACTAATGGAGAGTTTTAATTCCCCCCAGCTGTCAACATCCTGGGGTTAATCATTGATCTTAAACAAAACTGGTCCTAGCTAAATAAACACAGTGCCTGCAAGAGCAGGATAAAGGCTCGAATTTCTGCAGCAAGTAACTTGCTTCCTGACTCCCCGAAGCCTGTCCACCATCTACACAAATCAGGAGTGTGATGGAATACTCCCCACTTGCCGGGATGGGCACAGCCCCAACAACACTCAAGAAGCTTGACACCAAATAGGACAAAGCAACCATTTGATTGGCACCACATCCACAAGCATTCTCTCCCACCGCCACCGACACTCAGTAGCAGCAGTGTATATTATCTACAAGGTGCACTGAAGATATTCACCAAAGATTCTTAGACAGCACCTTCCAAACTGACGACCACTTCCATCTAGAAGTGCAAGGGCAACAGATACATGGGAACACCACCCCCTGCAAGTTCCCCTCCAAGCCACTCACCATCATGACCTGGAAATATTGGCCATTCCTTCAGTGTCACTGGGTCAAAATCCTGGAATTCCCTCCCTAAGGGCATTTTGGGTCTATCTACAACACATGGACTGCAGCAGTTCAAGAAGGCAGCTCACCACCATCTTCTTGAAGGGGGCAATTAGTGACAGGGGCAATAAATGCCATGCCCAACCACGTCCCATGAGCGAATAAATAACTCAGTGGTGTAGGCATGTTTGTCATCGTTCACCAAACATTGCACCCTGTTTGTTGTATATAATTAAAGTTCAGTTCATTCTGAGATTTGGGAAGTTAAAAAGAACATCAGTAATGTTGAAACTGGATGGCTCATGAGATCCCGCTGATCAGAGGCAAGAGGGTGTTGTTGGGAAAAGGAAATCAGTCCATCCTTACTCAGTCTGGCACTCCACTTGACTCCAAACCCATAGCAAAGGGAATTATTTCGAACAGCCCTCTGAGCAAGTCATTCCGTTCTCGAAAATTTTTTTTTGACAAAATTCTCCCCATATCATGATTTAAAAGAATAAATCGTCCAAAACACTGCCCCCTTCTTTGATAATCATCGACACTTGACCAATTACATCACTACACAGTCCAAATGCCCCTGGCATTCTATGCACAATCAATGCTTTGTTCACTAGTGTGACATTTCTTGTTGTTTTGGTCGGAAGACCAGAAGAGATTCGGGCAGGAGTTAGTCACCCAGCAAAATATCCAACCAAATGTTCAGGGGGTGTGCGATTGAGGCAATGTGAGTGATGTAGCTCTGTACGAGCTAGAATATGTATTCAGCAGTAAGAGCGATCTGGGATCTGATGGTGTAGAATCCATCGTGGGCATAATGAAGACTATATGCGCTGGAGTTTAGGAGAATGAGCAGGAGGAGGTCATTGAAACCTATAAAGTTCTAACAGGACTAGACAGGGTAAATGCAGAAAGGACGTTCCTGATGACCAGGGCCAGAAGTCCAGCACCAGGAGTCTCAGTCTAAGGGAGATGGGGTAGGACTGAGAGGAGTAGAAATGTCTTCACCTAGAGAATGGGGAGTCTAAGGCATTCTCTGTCACAGAGAGCAGTCCGGACCAGAACATTGAATATTGTTCAGGTAGGAGTTGGGTGGAGTTCTTAGGGTCTAAAGGGAATTAGTGGGGGGACAGGGGACTGAGTTGGATGATCAGCCATGATCCCATTGAATGGGCAGAGCACGCTGGAAAGGCTGAATGGCCTACACCTATTCCTATTTTCTATGACTCTGTATTAACACGTGTAGAGTTGGATGATTGGCCGTGGTCATATTGAATAGCGAAGCAGACTCAAAGCTCTAGATTCTTATGTTTTAATGTATGACCAAGCTTTATGTCACAGATTGAACTCCCCGACTTTCTTTACTTGGTTTCATTTTCCCTGTTTATTGTGTTTAATTCAGATAAAAACAAGGTGTTGCATTTGGGTGAGACAAACTAGGGCAGGACTTACACAGTTAATAGAGGCCTTTGGGGTGCAGGTACATAGTTCCTTAAAAGTGGTGTCACAGGTGGACAGGCCGGTGCAGAAGGCATTTGTCCTGCATTGGTCACTGCATTGAATACAGGAGTTGACACGTAATATTACAGCTGTACAAGACATTGGTAAGGCTGCATTCTGGCTACTGCACACAATTCTGTTCACCCACATTGGAAAGGATGCAAAGAAGATTTGCAAGGTGTTACTGAGACTGGAAATTTTGAGTTATAACAAGGGGATGGATAGGCTGGGACATTTTTCTCTGGAGCGTAGGAGGCTGAGGAAGTTTGTAAAATCATGAAGGGTATAGATAAGGTGAATAAAGCCAGGGTCTACTCCTTGCTAGGGGAAGTCCAAAATCAGAGAGCATAGGTTTAAGGTGAGAGGGGTAAGGGACCCAAGGGGCAACTTTTTCACACAGAGGTTGATCAGTACGTGAGACAAGCTGCCAGGGGAAGTGGTAGAGGCAGGTACAGTCACAATATTTAAAAGACATTTGGACAGGTGCATGGATAGGAAACATTTTAACAGATATGGGCCAAACACAAAGAAATGGGGCGAGTTCAGTTTGGGAAATCTAGATGGCATGAACAAGTTGGGCCGAAGGGCCTGTTTCCGTGCTGTATGATACTATGACTCAATTTAAAATACGTTTGGATAGGTACATGGATATGAAAGGTTGAGGGGGACATGGGCCAAATGCAGGCAAATGGGACTAGTTCAATTTGGAAAACCTGGTTGGAATGGACGAGTTGGGGGGAAGGTCCTGTTTCCGTGTTGGATACCTTGCTGACTTTAATATCCAAGGCTGTGTGACTTTAATCAAATTATGGTCTGCAAGCATGAAGCACCAACTCTGAGCTGATCCCACCAGTTGATGAGTTGACGGTGCAGTTACTCTTTGGGAGAGAGTCCTTATGAACTCACCTATCACTGTGATCTTTATGTCTTCACTGCGCAGTGGGAGATCTGTTGCCTCATTTCTCACCGAGCAATGATAAAGCCCTTCGTCCCTTCTGCTGATGGCTCCAATTTTGTAAACAAGCTCGGCACTGTTGGAAAACTCCCTGTGCAGTTCCGTGTTTGAGCCGTTGTAGAATTGGTAATAAATTGGCAAAGAACCATTGGAGACTGAACAGACTAAGGATCCTGTCTCTCCTTCGATTAGCTCCTTTCTGGGTTGAATTATTAGATCCGGTTTTGACACTGGAATTCCTGCAAATATTGACAAATGTTAGGTCCCTTCGTTTGGCAGAGTTAATTGCAAACTCAACTATGAACTTCATCACAGTGACATCCATTCCCATATACAGTTGTTTCTACTCATTCATTGGATGTGGGTGACACATAAATGCACAGCATTTATTGCCTGCCCCTAATTGCACAGAGGGTTGTGGGGTTACAGCCAAACTGACACAGCATACGATTGAGATGGGGAGAAATGTCTTCACCCAGAGAGTGGGGAGCCTGTAAAATTCTCTGCCACAGAATTCGGTTGGGACCAGAATATTGAATGTTGTTCAGGAAGGAGTTTGATAGAATTCTTAGGGGCTAATGTGGTGGGTCAGGGGACTGAGTTGGATGATCAGGCATGGTCCCATTGAATGGGTGGAGCAGGCTGGAAGGGCCAAATGGCCGACTCCTATTTTGTATCTTCCCATAATTTTCTAGAACAGTGAATCCTACAGTCTCCCCACTGTATGGCTGAAGACATTTCTCCTCAACTCAGTCCTAAATGGCCTTTCCATGGTCCTCAGCTATTTATCTCCAGTTCACCAATATATGGCTGTGAGATGTGGGGATAATTTGCCTCTATCCTGAATCTTTAATGGTTAAAAAAAGGAACGATAATGAATGATACTCACGCCTGATGGACAAATGGAGCTGATTACTG